GGGGGGGGGGGGGGGAGATGGATGGTTATGCTCACAAGGCTTGAGATATATGCGTGTGCGCTCACGTATTCTTGGGGTAATGAGGAATTGATAATTTACAAAAGTTGGCGCAGTTCTTTTATGAAAGCATATGCTCAGCATGTGTTATTGCATCTGTTAAACATATTTCAAGTACTACGTTTGTACCTTTTGTAGTTCAATGATCCCTGGTTCAAGAAATCCTATGTGGGGGGAGGAGTTCAACTTTTCAGTTGATGAGCTTCCAGCAGAGGTAAGCTATTCAACACATCTTATCAAATAAAGCACAAGTGCAGTGCTGTGTTTTTGTAATACTCTTCGGATATACTGCTATTATTTCTATTTGTTACATTAAGTTGAGGCTACATGGGAATGGTGATCTTGGTCATTTTCTTTACAATAATTCTTTTACTTGATTGTGCGGCAGATAAATGTTACAATATATGATTGGGATATAATTTGGAAAAGTGCTGTTCTTGGTTCGGTGACTGTACCTGTTGAAAATGAAGGTCAGACAGGTGCTGTATGGTATACATTGGACAGCACGTCAGGGCAGGTGTCTGTTGATTGTTTCATCTTTTTTTCCTTCTTTTTAGAATAATGCATCATAGTTTTGATTGATGTTGTGGAGGTTCTATCCCAATGAAACTGAATCATGCCCGTTTCTTTTACAGGTTTGTCTTCACATTAAAACAGTAAAACTCAATATCAATTCTTCAAGGTAGGGCTCTGCTCCCTTCTTTTTTTTGGGGCCTTGTGTTTCTTCCAGTTTGAATTTCAACCATTCTGTGTGGGACTAATGCTATTTACTAAAATGCTTAATCTGATAATGGTCATTTTAGCTTATTAGGGTCCCTTATTTTGGTTCATGCTAGCACTCTTTGCTTCTCAAATGCACATACTATTTCAAAAGATGAGTTGAATTTGGGATAGATGTGATTGGATTTCTTACAAAGATGTTTCTGTGTAATGATAAAAAGTAGTTAAATGAATCTCATCTTCCCCTTTTCCTCTTAAAGTCTCCTAACTGTACGGAATGCTGCAAATGATGCTGCAATGAAGTTTTTGATGAGTTACCCTGGAAGGAATGTTGGGTATGATCCTGGTTTGGTAGGGGCTACTGCAAGGCATGTTGTGACGTTTGCATCTGATTGGAAATTCATAATGGTTTTGAACTTAATCGACATGATTTAGACTTCAAATATTTCACTTATTTGTAGTCTGTTTTCCATTCCTTTGTTTATAAAAATGTTTGTATTTATAGTTTTTTTTTTTTTGCACATCTTATTCACCGGCCTAGAAAAAGCATATGATAGAGTACCTAGAAAGGTCTTTTGGTGGCTATTGGAGAAGAAAGGAATTCATATTAAATATATGAATGCGACAAAGGGACATGCATGAAGGAGTTGTCACTAGCGTGAGAACAATAGTAGGAGAAACACGGGAGTTTCCCGTAACCATAGGTGTACATTAGGGATCGAGATTGAGCTCGTACATGTTTACCCTTGTTATAAATGAGCTATCCAACACAATACAAGATGAGGTCCCATGGTGTATACTATTTGCTGGTAATATTGTGCTAATTGACGAAACCGGCGAGGGTGTCAACCAAAAGCTTGGCCTACGGAGAAGCACTCTAGAGAATAAGAGTTTTAGATTGAGCAGAAGTAAAACTAATTCTATGCACGGTAAGCATAGATAACATAATAAGAGCGAAAACGAGGTGAGATTAGACGAGATTGCAGTGCCTAAATGCAAGCAATTAAGATATCTAAGCTCGTTGTTATAAGAAAATAAATTCATAGATGACGATGTTACATAGATTAAATTCAAATGGTTGAAATGGAGGAGTGTTATTAGGGTATTATGTGATAGAAGGATGCCTACCAAAGTGAAAGGAAAGTTTTATGGAACAATTATAAGACCAACAATGTGTAATGAGAGTGATTATTGGGCTGCTAAGGTCCAATACATCCACAAGATGAGTGTCACAGACATGCGGATGCGAAGATGGATGTGCGATAATACAAGACAAGACAAAATCAGAAATGATCACATTCATGAGGAGGTTCAAGTAGCACATTATTGAGGATAAGATCAGAGAAGGTTACTTAAGATGGTATGGTCATGTCCTGCGTCAACCACTAGATGCACCATGGTGAGTCTCGGTGGTAAAAGGAGTCGAACTAGACCTAAGATCACTTGGAAGGAAGTTGTTTCGAAGGACCTACAATCTCTTGAGATCCATGCAGATTTGGCAAAAAATAGGACAAAGTGAAAGAAAAAAAACTTTATAGGTGATACCTACTAGTTGAGTATATATTTTAGTCGTGTTAGCACTTTTACTTTACGTCCTGCTTTTCTAGGAGTTGTTTAGTCTTTCAAAGATTTATACGTCTGTAGAAAATATTAATAAACTCTAATACTTTTTTTTTTTTTTTACTCCCTATGTTCCAATTTATGTGGCAACAGTTCCTTTTTAATCTGGTAAAAAAAGAATAACTTTTTAAATTTGGAAGCCATTTAACTTAAACTTTCCATTTATCCTTAATGAGACTCTTTTATAGCCACACAAATATCTATGGTTTGTGACCACAAGTTTAAAAATCTTCCTTTATTTTTTAAACACCGTGCCAATTCAAACTTCGCCAAGTAAATTTAGAACGGAGGGAGTACTATTTTTATTTTACATATTAGTGGCCTGAGATGCATCGAGGATTGATGTAGCCATCCTAACTTGCTCGGCACTGAGGTTTAGCTGTTATATTACATATGTATTTGTTTTACTTTTTGTTCAGTTGCGTCCTTCACTAAAACCTTCGCTCTAATTGCACTTGAAGTCCAAAAGGACCTTGGTGTTTAATACTGATTTAAATGTGGCTTTGTGTCCTGCTAAAGTCCTCACAAATGTATAATAAATTAGGTTCAGGTTGTGAAATTCTAAATGTCTTGTAAATGACTTGAATGTTTCTAAGAGGATATTTTCAGTTCCCTAAGTTCTGTTCTGGAGAGCTTGTATGGTTGTTAAGCATTCAACATTATTTGTCAGTAGAGCACAGTTCTTAGAACGTAGCTTATATAGCCGTTAAAGAGGTTAGACAGTACTTTCCCTTTTGTGGAACTCCTCTTTTAATAGTTCCTTTTGATAAGTGACTCTTTATATTCTCTATTTCACTTGTTGGCAAGTGGGTAATAAGATGTAATCTTCTGTTTTTTGTTGCACTCTTTAGTAATGCTCTTCTAATTTACATATACAAATAAAATAAGTGAATAACACTTTGAATAAAACTTTCTTTCAACGGAGAGTTGCAGGAGACTTATTTAGGATTAGTTATTCTTTCTATTGCTGGAATATTATTGATTCATCAGAAAAATTATTGATAAATCATTATAGTTCTGTCCTATCTATCTCACCAAAAAATAATTTTTCCGGGAGCTGGTGGATAATGTTCTTTCCCTCTTGTTTTCTTTCTGGTTTCTTAGGGGTTTGAATGGCTGTGGTAATACTCGTAGAAGGATTGCTCTGGATAAAGAAGGACCTACTGTTGTTCATCAGAAACCTGGGCCGCTGCAAACAATTTTTGATCTCCCTGCTGATGAGGCAAGTGCGGATTCGTGTTTGTATAGAGGTCTCTTGGTTTTGAAAGGACACTAAGTTGGAAAATTGGACTATTCAGCTTGATTGCTAAACGAACCACTAATTGCAGGTTGTTGAACATAGTTACTCTTGTGCACTTGAGAGGTCATTTTTGTATCATGGACGTATGTATGTCTCTTCCTGGCACATTTGCTTCCACTCAAATGTGTTCTCAAAGCAAATGAAGGTCAGTTCCACCTTAAATTTCTACGCCCTAAATTGGAAGTTGGAACCTTATGGATCTTCTCTCTGAACTTTATCAAGCATTTGTTGCATACAATCAGGGAATTAGTTACAACTCTTTCTAGTGTGACCTTACTGGTGGATATTGTGAACCTTGGAGAGTGTTATTCAAAAATTTGTTGGAATCTTTTTTCTTGATTGATAAAAAGAATATTGAATCCGGCTAAAGACATTTCTTTTCTGATTTCCCTCGTAGACACGGTTCTATATCCTAATGTTTCTCTTTCTAATCCTGAATGTAACTGGTCATGACCGTATTTTCTTCCCACATTTTTATATGTAGTAAATTCATCTCAAGAATGCTGAAACTTGTGTATACTGTGCTGCTTATTTAACCATGCTTAAATTTCTGTTTTCACAGGTAGTTATTCCTTTAGGAGATATTGATGAGGTATGATATTATCTGTGTGTGTTATCTGGATTTTGTCATTTCCAAGTTGTCACAGTGCTTGGGATGGTTGTCTGGGCAATATTTTGGAAATTGATGGTAGTGTTATTTTGCTTTTAGATAAGGAGGAGCCAGCACGCATTCATTAACCCTGCTATTACAATAATTCTACGTACAGGTGCTGGCGGTCATGGGGTACCTCCTTTAGGAAATCCTGATGGTTAGTAAATCAACCTATTCTTCTAATTCACTCTCATTTATTTTCAATGTTTTTTCTTCATTTAAATGAGCCAGAACGTTGGATAGTGAATGAGCTTTTCCTTTTCTTCTTCATTTATATGGAGATTCATATAGCCCCACCCAAACAGATTTGGGATTGAGGTGTAGATTGATTGATTTGTTAGGAGAGATCTGTGATGATGTGTATAACTCTTGAAGACTGTTCATACCAAGTTTTCCACCCGTGAGAATGCACGGGAGAAAAATCTATTATTGATTAACAATGATACAATGAGCCCTATATATAATACATATTCTACCCCTACTACATATGGGACTAGGACATATTCTACTCCTACTACATATGAGACTAGAATTATTTACACATAACTATTTAACACTCCCCTCAAGCCGGTACATACAAATCATATGTACCGAGCTTGTTACATAAAGTGATCGGCGCAAGCGAAATACAAGGCCACTAGACTCCCCCTCGAGCAACAAAACCAGGTGGTTGCTGATAATTAGAAGTTGACCAAAAGTCGCCGGAGAAAATTGAAAATAGTGAGATTAAGACGAATTACACACTTCAAAATAGGTTCTAAAACACCACCAGAAAAAAGAAACTTCTCTGGAAATTACTGTTCACGCCGGAAAAAATAAAATTTGTCGGAATTTGATGTAATTTCTATGGGTAGGGTCGGAATCACTGGACGAGTAAGTTGTCCTGAAGAAGTTTTATCAAAAAGTGGCCGGAATGGCTCACACGCGCCGGAAAAGTTATTGTAGCTCGCCGGCGAATTCTAAAGTTCTTGGAATCTGTTGTAGGAAATTGTACTGGTGGACTTGGAACCACCCCACGGAAAATTTATCCTAAAGAAATTTTTGAAAATTCTGGCTAGAAAGTGCTCCACGCACCGGCGAGTGTGTCGGACGCGCTCGCCGGAACCCTGGCGGCGAGTGGAGGCGCGTGAGGGACTTTCTGCCGGAGCGATTGACTGAGGTTTTGTCGCCTGACTTTTCCGAACAATATGGTAGTGTTGGTTTTCGCACAACACTTACCAATAAGGAGATAACTCAAATCAATCTTGAGTCGTTAACCTGAAAGACGCACGGTGACTGACTTTTCTGTTTCGATTGGACTAGGATTTCTGGGCCTTGGTCACACAAGGGTTTTGGATCTAATGGTGGTACTGGTATATGCACAGTACCACTGTAGCAGTGATGAACCTTGGGAACAAGACGAAGTTGTCGGAAAATTGCACGGCGACGAGATCTTTCTTCCCGGATGTGGAATTACGCACAACGTTAATTTTCTCACTGAAGCTCTAATACCATGTGAGAATGCACGAGAGAAAAATCTATTATTGATTAACAATGATACAATGAGCCATATATATAATACATATTTTACTCCTACTGCATATGGGCCCAGACCCTACAGTGTGGGATAGTACGGGGTATGTTGTTGTTGTTGTTGTACTCCTACTACATATGGGACTAGGATTATTTACACTATCTAAACCACCTACCAAGTTCATATACCTTTCTCCTTGGCTGGATCAAAATATTATCTACTTTTATGAAAATTAAAGTTTTTGAAGTACCATGTATTATATAACCCAACAGTTACTCAGGACCTAGTTCTAAACTTCTCAATGCAAACAACAACAACGACCCAGTGAAATTCCACTAATGGGGTCTGGGGAGGGTAGTGTGTACCCAGACCTTGCTGTTTCCGAAAGACCCTCGGCTCAAGAGGACAAAAAGAAACTTCTCAATGCAACAGTTTCCTATTTCTGCTACTTAAAACACTAAAGCTATTTGGACTAAAAAAAGAACTTTAAAAGCTGTTGCCCCCACATGTTCTTCTGGTTAACAACAGACTACAAAATATGCACAATAATCTCCGCTATAAATACCCTTGCAAATGAATACGAGATTCAAATTGAAAAGAAGAGAGGCAGTTTGTTTACTCATGTTAGAGAGCGAGTTATATTGACATTCTGGATTGTTAATATCTATTTGCTAATCACATACCTTTTCAACTTCCAGGGAGGGTACGATATATGTTTGCGTCTTTTTGGAATAGGAATCATGCAATTAGAGCCTTGCAACGGTCAGCAACAGACTACCACGCCATGCTAGAAGCAGAGAAAAAGGTTTTTCTGTGCTTTTAATTAGTCTTTTTTCTGATGACTAAGCAGTTATACATCTTTAGTGAAGGTTACTTGCTTGTACAACATCCTGGAAGTCAAATTGCCTGCTTCACTGTGTTTTCTTCTCTCTTTTTTTTTGGGTTGATGAAGATTTAGTGATGAGATCGGGAAATCCCACATACAAGGTGTATATAAAAGTAGATAATCTAAAAGAAAGACATGATTATTTTCAAACAACATCAACACTAACACTATATCACTTAGTGCTCCATTAATACGGAAAATTTCCAATTATCTGTACAAACAAGTTGTCTATCCCTTCAAATGCTCTCCTATTTCTCTCTTGGCATATTATCCACATGAGTGCCGGAGGAGCTCTTTGCTCTCCTCCTCCTCCTCTCTCTTCTAATTTTTATCCTAGAAGCGTCTCTCCTACAGTCTATAGTATCACCCATTCTTCTCCAAATCATGCTCCAGACCATACAACATAATCTGTATGCAGTAGGACAGAGAATTAGTTAGTTATTGACATCCTCTGCCGCTTGCTTCACTGTGTTACATTGGAAATATTTCCTACCTAAATTAAATGTACCAAAATGTTAATGGAGCCTATAGGGTAGGTATCATGAAAGATACAAGTTCTAATGTATTAGCATAGTAGACATCAAGATTAGGTTTTTCTTCTATTTGTCTTAATTCTTGTCGATGCGAGACTTCCGCCAGCGTAGTTAATATCTCTATTTGTGCTCAAGGTAGGAAGTAGTCTTTGGACAGCAGTATGATTACTATTTTCATGGATCTCATGAAGAGCTGTAGTGTGGTAGGAAGCCGTTTATGCTGATTAACACAGAGGCATGTTGATGTACATTCCAAGCACGAGAATAGTTAAAGAATTTAAAGAGAGAAAACAAAAAAGAATAAAGGACTAGATTACTAGAATACATGTGTTGAGTTTGTGATGGACCGTGTTTTATTTGCTTGTGTTCAAACATTTATAATGATTTGACCGCCTGGTAGCGCAGAAGAATGACGTTAGAAACCTTGCTTACAATCAAATAGACCCTTGTTCCAAGGGAAAAAGGGCGTTTCATGGGTGAGTTTATCTAGATCAAGTGTATGGTTATGATCCTAGACAATAATGTTAACATTGTGAGTAGGGGACATGGGCCTTTTCAGGGCAGAAGCAACTTCATCTCTATAGTCTCTCTTTCATGTAGAGACTTTACTTTTAGTGTAGCTTTTTGTCATGCAGATGTTGGGTTTTGTAGGAAGGATTATGGCTTGTAAACCAAGGCAAACATCTCTTAAGTACCATTTACGAGTGTCTTCAAGGTGAATGCAACGGGTAACTGGAAGGAATGTCCCAATCAACTAATAAGTGCTTCAGAGAAAACGTGTGATTCATGCGGAGGGTTTACTTTGCCTGTTAATTGTTGCCTGCCTAAATATCTTTATTACAAAAAAAATGAAGCTCATGTTGCATTTTTCTTGAACACCTTATCAACTTGTTGTCCAAGTAGAAGAGCAAAGGAATACACTCTTGATTTGGAGGCTGCAAAAAATTGCTATGTCATTTAAATACCAATTTGTTATTATTGCTGAATACTTCTGATCTCAGATAATGGTTCTTATGTAATGATTCACTTTTTTGCTGTGAGCTTGTTGAAGCAACATCATGTGCAGAGATGTTCTTAATCTCATCAGTTTTTAATTTTCTCATAAATCTCTATGCTAGGAATTTGTTATTACTTAGACGTGTTTTGGTCTTGACAGTTGTTCCCCAGAATCTCCTTTCTCTACCTGTTACCATTTATCTTTTTGGTTGTGACAATCCCAAATTTTCTATCTGTTTTCTTTTAGGAGAGGGAACAGTCAGCACTACGTGCACATAGCAGCTCGGTTAAAGGAAGTAAAAAGATGGATATGAGTCGGAAGGAAAATGTGTCGAAGACTGAGAAATCTCAGCCTTTTATTAAAGAAGAAGTCCTTTCTGGTATATACAATGTATGTATGAGACCTAAGCTCTTATCTTTTAGCAACTAGAATCTCTTGATGCATGATACATGATTTTATTAAAAATTTTCAGGACATTTTCCCATGCACACCTCAGCAGGTTTTTGACTTACTACTGGCTGATGGTTCAAATTATACTATTGAGTATCGTACGGCACGTAAAGATTCTAATATCAATGTAAGTTCAACCTTCCATATGCATATAGTTAGAACCCGTTTGTATATTATACATTTTGGAGCATAAGTTCTACAGTATTTGTCTTTTTGTGGGTAGGGGGGGGGGGGGGGGGATGTTTTAGTAGAATTAGATGTCAAAATGGTTTCTAGCTCAACTAAAATGCATCTTTTGGGTCATGGGCCCAGTCAAAAGTAAAAAAAGGTTGCTAATAGCTGAGTTCCAAGAGGCAATTAGCAAGTAAGAAAATACGAAGAACCTCTGGTTTGATTATCAGGTTGCAGTGCTTGTGCTTCTAGTGCAGTTTCTTATTAATCTCTATCTTTTTATTGGAAAGCCAGTAACCAGAAAAAGTGAACTTGGTGAAATATATTTGCTCCATAGCTTGAATGTGATGGTATGTTGTGTATACATCCAAATCTGCATGAAGTCTACTCAGTGCGGATATGCCCAGGCCTGCCAGAAAGGGCTGAAGAAGGGCAACTGTTTTTAATGTCTGATGAATTAGATCAATTACTGTCATTATCGTATCTAAGCACTATTCCTGCACTTTGAGGATTTTAAGATTAACAAGGAATAAATTCTTATATTATAGTGTTACTAAACAGCTCTAAATCACCCAAAATATGAGTGGACAATTTAGCAAACTAAATTTAGCTTTATTCACTCTTTCTGCATACTACAGCAAAGAAAGTTTAATATGAGTTACTTCTGGATGGAACAGAAAGAAGCAAGCTTTCAGAATGATGAAAACTACTGCTTAAGTTTAGTTGATGTGTTCCTTGTGGACTAGACCTCTGTGTTCTTTTGTCTGTTAAATTCTCTGGCCACTGCTGATATTAATTCATTAAATTAGTTGTGAAGCACCAAAACGTCATACTACGAGAAGAAAAGGAACTAAATAAAATATTTGACCGTCATAGATGTATTTTGTTTATCTTGATGGAGCAAATTAGTCATTGTCTCAGGCATAAATGTTTTTTCCTGCGATGCAGTTAACAAAATTTAAATTATCTTTGCGAGGAGACATTACTGTGTTTCAGTTGGTCCTGTCTTGAGCTACAATGACCCAAAATAGAAATTGCTTTACCTCTGTGGCCTTAATGGTGACTAAACTTTCGAATGTCTTTATTTTCTTAGGTCGGTCAATGGCATTCTGCTGATGAGTATGACGGTCAAGTCAGAGAGATTACATTCAGAACCATATGTAACAGTCCCATGTGCCCCCCAGATTCAGCAATGACGGAGTACCAGCATGCCGTTTTGTCACCGGATAAGAACATGCTTGTATTTCTCATCATTTAGTGCCACAATTATTTACTGGTTGCTTTTATGCTTTGATCATTTGTCTTATTAGTTTTAATTTACCATTTTCCTTTCTTCTAGGTTTTTGAGACTGTACAACAGGCACATGATGTCCCATTTGGATCATGCTTTGAGGTGCTGTTGCGTTTGGTCATCAGACCATATTCTTTTCCAGTATTCGTGGTTTCAATTCCATGGAAGTCCTTGTAGATAATAACCCCACTTTTGCTTTGTTCCATGGCTTATCCGCTAAGGATTGTCCCATATTTATCTTTCTTATACTGATTAGATTTGATATTGAATCAGGTCCACTGTAGATGGTCTTTAGAGGCATCTTCTGAATCATCCTGCGTTTTAGACATAAAAGTTGGTAAGTTTCGTCTAGGCTATGAATTTTTGTTCAGTTTGTAGTGTTCAATCCATTTGTCACTTTTCTGGGTCCTGGTCCCGAGTCCTTTTTGATGAGGTTTGTAAATGAAGCATTATGGCATTCTGAAGACGTCTTTAGAAAAGGGCATCGCAGTTCTTCGTGGCAATCCTTGATACTAGATTCCTGCTAGAAACAGACCTGGATCTGGAATATTTAATTATTCAGTTGTAATGCGCCACCTGGAATAACTTTACCTCTCTAAGAGATCAACTAGTCTGCCATTAATCTCTAGAGCAGCTTTGGGCCACTCATCTTTCTAAGTCATCCTCGTGTTACAGTTCTGGGCTTCTGGCCGTCTTCTAGCTTATATTTGTTGTATGTATGTTTTCTGTCAGTTAACTTACTAGTCACCTTACATGTATTATTCTTTTGTTGACTCTTTTGGGGCTTCTACCCTTATCATTTATTACACGTAGATTTTAAGTCAAGTGAGAAACTGCTTGCCTGGTGCAATGGTTAGTGCCTTCACTTGTTCTTCCCAAGTTCCACCTTCTAAGGTTATCTGATCTTAAGTTGCGGTAGTCCAAGCTGATTGTTCAGTATTTGCATTGTCGTCATTATTTATGTCTATGTATCTGTGTGAAGTATTAGCATGATGCAGGCTAATGGGTAGTTAATAGGTGTCTGTTGTGTTACGTAATGGGTATTGTGAACATTGCGGTAGAACCGGGAAGATTAGAACCTAGAGTTTCAACAGCATATTCAAGAATGGGGATATGATATTGTAAAGGTGAACTAACTTCCAAGATTTGAACAGGTGCACATTTCAAGAAATGGTGCATTATGCAGTCTAAAATTAAGGCAGGAGCTGTTGACGAGGTAATTATCACCTTTGGAAGGATCCTTTTCCATTTATGTATAGCTAAGGTGACTTACAAGAGATTGATATGACTTCTTTTATTCCCTTACTGTCTTCCACCTCCCCTATGCAGTACAAAAAGGAGGTTTCGACAATGATCCAAATGGCTCGTTCATACGTTGAATCCAGAAACTCAGGAAGTGAAACACAGAACGTTGCATCTGGGCCTTCCGTTACTCAAGAAACTGCTAGTTTAGGGTAAGATTTACTTAGTCTCAGGAATCTTGTAAGTGTTCCATATTTCTGTTTTGTTTCTTTGTAAGTAAGATAGTACTATAAGTCCATGTAATTTTATCACAATCTTTTGATAGTAATTGCACCCTATTCCCCAAACGGAGGTCCAGTGGTGCGCTTTTATAATCTATGGACACAGTTTTTGTATTAATGATAGCTGATTTTTTCTGGTTTTTTCAATATATGCTTTTCTCAATATTGCTCTTTTCAAATGCAAAAATAGAAATTTATTATCTCATCTCATCAATTTGGGAGCAGCTCCTCTCCAGGCGGTACTTACTTTTTCCTTATCGGGTAAAACTTATCCACACCGTGTTTTTACCGATCCAATGAATAACTTGTGCCGTTACATACACTGTTATCACTTACTATTATTCTATGTTATCACTTTGTCTTATTAATAGATACACATACGGACATCAATTTTATAACTTAATTATGGTAAACAAATGTGGTTTAGCATAAAACAGTGTGTGCTGTCCAATATATGAAAAAGATGCAGCCAGCAGTTAAAAGAAAAATTAACTGATGTTGTTGACAGCATTGAACTTACCTTATCTTCATCTTATTAGGCTTTGACCATACAGCATTGTGTGTCAAGATTCACTTTACAACATTAGAAACATGCATTCAAAGAAAGAATTACACCCCACATCACTTGGCCTAATAGGCCAACCGAAAATGGCCCACATTTGAAGCTCTTACCCTATTTAGCCCATGTTGTACATAACTTGAAAGAAACTTTTCAGCCTTTAGCCCACTATTAAAGACATACTTTTAGGGTTTTTATTGTTTTCTTTTTTCTTCATTCCCTTCTCTCTCACCGCCTCTCACTTCTTTCTTTCTAACCCACATAGATCCCTCATCCTCTCTTAACCTAGCCCCCGCAATTCCCCCTCCTCTACCCCCCACGCAGTTCTGCCATTAATGGCTCGAAGAAAGACTCCGTCGTCCATGGTGGCAAGCAGAAGAATGAAGAAGATTTTTGAAAGAAACATGAAAATACACACAGATCTGAAAATAAATAGCTCTCACTACTAGAAATCCGGTAAAAAGCGACCACAAAAAGCGACCAAAGTTGGTCGCTTATAGGCCTAAAAGCGACCAAAAAGCGACCAAACATGCCTGGTCGCAATATAGCTGGTCCCTTTATTTTAGGGACCAAAGTTGGTCGCTAATTAGCGATCAACTTTGGTCTCTAAGGTAAAGGACCAAATATTCCGGGTAAAGACTATAGCGACCAACTTTGGTCGCTTTATTATTTTAATAATATAATTTTGGCGACCAAAGTTGTTCTCTAAATGATAAAAAACATTTTTTTTTATTTATTATTAATCATAAAAAAGCGACCAACTTTGGTCTCTAATCCAAATATTATATTTTAAAATCTGAAAAATATAGACCAAGGTTGGTCGCTTTTTTATT